ACAGTAAAAATAAATTGAGTCATACACAAACTATAATTAGAATTCAAAACCATAAGGTAAGTTTTAAAATTATGATTACATTTTTCTGTAATTTAAGCACATTTTTAAATGCTGAAAGAAACTGTGAAAAATGTACATACTATGTAGATTGACAGAAGTTTTATATTTTGTTTTATCTTGTGTATTTCTAATACACTCCAGTGCACCTAATACCCCCTTCCCATTATGGGAATACCACAAAGTAACCACAATCATATTTGTGCTGCATCTGAAATGATGGTGCAGTGTTTTTTGCAGAGTATTATTATTTATTGCATATTTATGTATATTTTATTGTTACTATAAGCACACAAGAATGATGCAATTAGCACACTTCAAGTGTAAGTGGTATGCCATTGCAATATGCAAGACATTTATTTCAATGATACCTAAAATACAATAGAAGCTTGAGTTCAAGATAGTCCAAATTACTTGCAATGACTTAGGAACTATGTCTTCAGCATACTATTCCTATATACCTAGTGAAGCTCTAATCCACACAAAGTGATGTTTAAATAAATGTTATTAAGCCAAGCATGTGTTTTAATGTCACTATTAGTAAAAGGATAGTATTACTTCAGTTTATTATCAGTATAACATTAATGTATGTTCAACAATCTTACAGTGTAATTGAGTTGCAATTGTAATTGAGTCAATTCTGAATATTGCAAAAAAAAAAAAGAAAGAAAAATACAAGGGTAGGTATTTAAAGTGTACTTAAGTATGCTTGGAATAGTTCCATTTTAGCACAACCAAGTATACTTAACACATCTTTAGTTGAACTGAAGCACTGCTTTCAGAAAACTAAAGTGCAAATTAGTTAATTTTTTACTTAAGTATAAAATTAGTTGTTCCAATTTAGCAGACTTTAAGTATACCAACCTATAGTGGGCCCCAATACATTTAAGTATACTGAAGCACCCAAGAATAAAGTGTGCTTAAGTATATTATTTTTTCACTAAGAGAGAGACAAACATACAAGCAAAAACAAGCACTTGGGGATTAAACTCATGTGCAAAACTGCTGATTAAGCTCTTTCTTAGAGCCTATAATGCTGGACATATACCTCTGGACTGGTGAGAGTTTTCCTTTCTGTAAATATGACAAAGCTTCTCTTTCCAAGAGACTTTACTGAACTTTAGAGATTGTAAGTGTGATTTCAGGGTATTCTGTATAGATATGGTTGAATATACATGATCTTTGTGTCCAAAAAGATTTGCAGGGTTATCTGCTCAAAATTTAAACAACTAGCTAGAACTATCCACCTCTAAGGGGACTATTATATATGGAATGAAAACAGGGACATATCCAAGTAGATATTTTTACATCCAGGGAACCAAGAGAACCACTTACGGAGTTCATTTACACTTTTAGACAATTGTATTTAAAAGGGTCTTCACGGGAGACACAATCTATTAGCTCTATCACCACCATTACCATGAGTTTTAAATTAACGGAAATGAAAGAGCTTAATTGGAAGAGAGAACAAATTGGGGGTAAGTACAAAAATGGTGATTAGAGATAGAAGGTTGTGTTAAAGTAGGGAAAGATTAAAAGTATTATTAGAAGAGTAAGAGATGAAAGAAAAGGGGTAGAAGATGGTGTTCTTTGAAACATAGATATGAGCAAATTGAATCAATTTAAATATGTGCTATGGTTACTTTCACACCAAAGATGGGAAATTGATCACAGCCATGCTGAAGATGTGTCTGTTCTTAATGGAAAGAAATCCTTTTGCTTTGAATTCCTATGTTTTGGTAGAATAGGAGATGAACAAAATCACATTGCCTATATTAAAAAAAAAAAAAAAACAAACTCTGCATCCAGTGTCTGTTTCTGAGATTCCATTAGTTGTAACATCAAACTTAGCTGGCTAATTGGTTAAGATCTGGTGGTTGTCCAAAAAAGAAATGTCCAATCCAATACGTTATTCAAAAAGTATTGCGTGTGTTCTAAACAGGTGTAGGTTCAGATATGAACAGGAGGTGCTTTTTGTGTGGGAATGGGATTCCATGGGATGCAATGAAAAGGATGCACAGGAGGTTTTTACTTTTAGGGGCACAAGCTAGCAGTCGGATATGAAGATTGCAGGACAAACAAAGACCAGTTATGAAATTGAGTGATGTAGCTGTGGTTTAGGTACTGTCAGAGGCACAATTCACAAACCATGGTGACAGAGCTGGCATTTCTACCTCTGTTTTTCCAATGCTTCTGGAAGCATAGTAGTAGGGTTCATACGTATTTGATTTTAAGGGGGGGGGTATGGGGGGGTTGCTCCAGGTTTAGGTGACACCCACTTCAGGTATATATCTGGTACAGATATGGATATTTGGATCACTACACATTGCATTACCCCTCCTTGGCATAGTTTAAAGCAGAAGCTAAGAGAAGGATTTCTGTTAAAGAAAACCCAGAGCGCATTAAAGAATAAAATACATTATCAGTGCAAACATTTATGATTTCAGTTGAAGAAAAAGAATGTCAGGGCAGAGCATGCAAACATTATAGTTATCCAGCTGTCCATGGTTCAGATTGGATGGTGATCTCAGTTAAACTAAATAAGATTGGTCAAAAGCCAACAGTCAGTGCATATTTTTTTCTGATAATAATAATACTTTTATATTGGCCATAAATTATCTAGCAGTTAGTGTGTGTTATTGTACTTGTACCATGCATAGTAACAATGGAGATTGATTTCTATTTAATTTCTCATACTCAAGACTGCATGGAGAGTTTTTGGACATTTGTAGTACAGCATATTGCATCCAAAATCTCATATCCAGAGATTAATGGGTGTTACCATGGTATCTAGCAAGCTCCTGAGAGTCTTCTCTTTGACTGGTTGACAGTATGCACCAATTCTATTGGGCATACAGATATTAGAAAACATAATTATGTCAAGAATAATGAAGTTCCTTTGCAAAAAAAAAGCTCTAAGGTTTTGTATAAATTATTGTGGCCTTTACACCAAGACCCATCTATATTTTAACCAGACACTGACTTATACTGCTCTATACTCACTACTGGCAAAACACAATGAAGTGTCATTTGAGTTCTTATGGTTTCCTTTTGAGCTCAGGAATTAAGCAGTTCAGTGTGCAACAGAGGATGTACTAACAAAATAAAAGGTAAGTCTTGCTTTGGGTACGTTAGTGTAGTTATATACTCAGAGGGAAAACAAATTTGAAAGAATTCAGGTGTCTTGAAATAAAAAAAAAGAAATTTTGATCTTGAAAAAGTACATGCAGAAATCTGTGTGCGTCTTTAGACGAAATGATGAGATTATGTGACTAAGGCTAGCCTGGATGAAGTAAGTGCAGTCTGTGAGTTTTCAATTCCAGTGTGAAAATTCAGAGGCTTCTGGGCTGTGTTGACTGTTAACACCAGCTACTTTCTTATTTGTCCAAGACAGCAGCACCTTTACATGCTTCAAATGCAGAAAGAAACAACGTGAAATGGACAGATAAATAAATGCACCAGTTCTTATGCCTTAAGACACTAACACTGAAGACATACCACTGGACAAGTGAGGAATATTTGTGTATATTGATATGGATTGTATCTACTGTATTATCAAGTTGTAAATGTGGTTTGGGTGTATTATATATACATATAAATACACAATATTTGCATGCAGACATATTAGTGGTTTTAGCTCAATTTAAACAGCCACAAGGTGCACTTTTTAAAGAATAAAATTGTATTAAACTAAAGAGATTGTGTACAGAGTGTATGTGAGTTTAGCATTATGAATGATGAAACTCTTCATGGCTCAGAATAGCACATGGAGAATGTCCATTAGTCCACTATGATTTTTTACATAATGTAATTCATCTATTAAAGGTAATAGAACATAATAATTAATGTATATATTAATCATTGCCAGGTTCAGATTTAATTATAGTTCTGTATGATTGATTCAATAAAACAGTACTTTTCAGTTAAACTCTAGATAGAATGCATACATTAAAAATTAACAAGACTGAAAAAGAACGAAATGGTGTGTGTGTGTGTGTGTGTGTGTGTGTGTGTGTGTGTGTGTGTCCTTCTAAAAAAAGAAAAAAAGGACGAACGGCTGCGTTATGATCCTGTACATGATGTTGCCTTCTCTTATCACTTCTCAAATCAAAATAATGGTAAAATTATTTTTTGTATTTATATGTAAATAATGTCAATAGTTTTGTGGATATTGATGCAATTGCTTTTTATTATTGGTGAACGTGATGAGCTCATCTAAGATACTGCCCTTTCCTTCGGTGGCCTGTCGTTAAGGGAAAAATTAGATCACATAAGAGTGATAAGCAGACTAATAACAACACTTATGAGGCAATGCAGACAAATCAAATTTTTTTACAACAAAATAAAGAGCAATTTTGAGTTCAAGGTGGGAAATAAGTGAGATTTAAAAAATAAAAAAACAACGAGCAGATACCACAGCTTTTGATGGACACTTACATGCACTGTATGTACAAATATAGCTGCAATGTATAAATCACACACATTTGCATATTTTGTTAAAAAAGCACATGAATATTAACTAGATGTGTGCTTTCTGAAGAAACTGTTGTATTTACTGAAGGTATAATGACAGAATGGTGAAAGACAGGTTAAAGGATTAAAAATAAATAAATCAAAAATATTTTCAAAAGTTCTTAAAAGTTGAACAAGTCCAAAATGTTTTAGTCTACATTATACTTAGTATGCAGCAACCACAGTCATTACTGCATCTTTAAATCTGTGTTGGTGAAATCTAAATTTCAGATTCCATTTTAATTCTCACCTCATAATTAATGCTCACCTCAAAGTATACAGGCAACATGGTGCATTAACTGTTTTAATTCCCCCAATAATTACCTTTGTAGTCACTCTAACTAATTATAATCTGTTCAGCCAAATTGGATTAGTTTGTTCAGCTAATGTTGATTATAAGCTTTAGCTAATTAATAAATTCTTGTTCATGGTCCCTGGAAGACTAATGGTTAGGTGCCGGCACTATTACAGCCGTGGCCTGGGTTCGATTCCTTGCCAGGGAACCGCACTCGGCAGTGCGCTCCCAGTGCTGGTTAAAATTGGGGAGTGTTGCATCAGGAAGGGCATCAGGTGTTAAAACTGTGCAAAATCAAATATGCAGACCAGTGATCCACTGAGGCGACCCTTAACGGGAACAGCCAAAAGAACAACAATAAATCCTTGTTTACCTAACTTCTGAATGAAATTTCTGGATTGTTTACTCAGCCAAAGCTTATAATTACCTTTGGACAATTAGAAATTTCTTTTCCATCTAACTACTAAATTAATGTATTTCTATTTAATTGTAAATTACACATTTTGGAAGTAAGTCTTATTATTATATATCCAATTATTATTAGATAGTATTACAATACATTACTATATACACTTAGCTATGACAGAGTTAGGAAGGACACTTCTTGTTTACATAAACTCCACTTTCTGCTAGCCAAAAATGGTCATAAACTGCCCTTAGAAGCACAATTAAGGTCATCTACAAAACACCCAACAACCTGGATGACCAGCAGTCTACAAACGGTAGTGGCAACTATGTCATGTTACTATGTCAGGTTACAAGGAGATCCAGGCTGTTTATAAATGTCCGAAAAGTCCTTGGATGTAGGATTGGAACTCCATCCCAGAACTTCCCTTTGAGCAGCCACCTATCAGCACCACTGAGGAGAGTTAGGAATACTGACTAGTCTCATTCAATTCAATTCAATTTTATTTGTATAGTGCTTTTAACAATGGACATTGTCACAAAGCAGCTTTACAGAAATCAATGGTAGTCTCATCACTCTTTAATATAAATCCCAGAAACTCACAAAGTCATTAGTGAGTTGAGCGTTAGATTCTCATTTACCTGCACCTCTGATTATCAACTTCAGAGTCTTGTTTTAGCTGATCCCACCTCAATTTCACAAGGCATAGACACATGAGAATTTCAGACAGTCACAAAGACCCCGTCCTTAATATCTGAACAAGCTGTCTCAACTGAGGCACCGGCTGGACCTTCAGCTGAAATTCTAGCTGAAATCTGTCCACACGAATTCATAAACCTTCATTTATGATCCCCAGAGAAGCAGGCATGATGCTATGACTAGACATTCAGCACCGTCTCTAGTTAATTCTGCTAGACTGACTCCCAGGACATACTCTCTGCAATCTCCAATGATGCCACTGCTGACTACGCAGAAGCACTTCACGGATTAGTACAAACCAAGGAGACATAACTGTAAAGCTTCTCAACAAACGTTCTTCAGTGTTGGCATGGTAGTTTAGCTAGAATTAGCACGTTAAGCAGATCCTCCTTTTCTGCCAAACAGCTACCTACACTCTGTGCAAGTCTCACTTTAAGCTTCACTCCACTCATCATTCAATTGTATATCAATTTATTTTCACAACATTTGTGCATATTTTCCACTGTCATATGTTGTAAGTTGACGTATACCTTTCTTCTTATTAATAAAATGTGTATGTTTTATGTGTGTGTGTGTTTCTCTGTTGTTCCTGAATAAGTTCTACAACTAACAATTGATTCACTTAATTTTAAATCAGATATCTTTCAGATACCTGGCAATTTTTTACTATTTTTTTATCTTGGCGATGCAACCAACATCAAGTCATATCTCATTTTTATTGTTAAACTTTGTATGTTATATGTGTGTTTTTCTCTTTTGTCATAAAATGAGTTCTATAAATCATCAACAGAATCACCTAATTTAATCTAAATCAAATACAATAAGAAGATATCAGGCAGATTATTACAATTTCTTATCTTGGTGATGCAACCCTCATCAAAAGGTATCTCATTCTGAGATTATGTTGTTCATTGGACTGCTGACCCATTTAGTAGAATGATTATTATTAAAATTAATAATAATTTAAAATACTTAATTTAATGGTAATTTACTCATCTAACAAACCCTCCAAAGTGTGGGCCATCTCTCCTGAACCCCTGCCACCATTGGAGGCTCCTCAAAAAGATTTCTTTTCCTCAGAAAAATGTCGTCTTGTAATCGACATAGTCCCAAGAACAATTTTATTTTATTTGTAATTCCATTTATATCCATTAGGGGTCATCTTCAGGTACTGGGTACTTCCTGGGTACCTGCCCATAAAAAGAAGTAGAGCAGTATTTCCTGTTGAGAAGCTGAAGAGGGTGTTTGCTACATATGTGCTTGTGGCTTGCTTTCTGGAAACCTTTAATCTCCTTTTCTGAGAAGCCTGAACTTATGTTCAGGTGCAAGGAATTGTTTTTAAGATACTACAACTAAAGGGATCTATTGGAACAAATACAGGGCCTCCATAATCAGAGCTACAACTCAACCTAATCTGAAAGTATGACCTTAAGATTGTCACTAGGACTAGGCCAAGGTCAAACCAAAGACTGCTGTTAAAACTGGTAAAGTTGTTCCAATCTTATGTAACTGTGAAGGACAGCAAACTGGATTGAACTGAGCTTAATCTAAGTGACTGTACAGATGTATATCTTGGGGTAGGTAATTGTTTTCTTTTTTGGCACAAGACATCAATATATTTTGGGTTCATGGTATATGGTTGCAAGTGTGTGTTTTGAATGCATTTACATTCTTGGATCAGATGGACATAGATTGGAAGGGGCAGAGAAACCCTCCTTAGATTTTATTCTGAGTATTCTTTTTTGTTCCAAGGGAGGTTACAAGCTCCATCTTTAATTTTATGACTGCCATGATTTTACTTGCATTTTTTGTTTCATCCATCATCATGGTCACCTGAATGTTGTGATTAATGACATGATTAATCTCCCCAAGGTTTCATTAACAGTATAACTACTCTAGTCTTCAGCTGCTTTTGTTTCCTGTTCATGTGAACTTTACTGCAGCCTGCTTTTTGCAACTGTACTCTCTTGGAATCACAGATTTCATACTTAACTGTTGAAATTCCTTGATGTTCCACCACACTAGTGGGGTGTGCTCTTGAAAGATATCATCTCAATTCACCTGCCGTTCAGAAGACACAAACACAATCCATATGAAGCAAAGCCAGTTAGAATGACTTCAGTGGCAATGTTGTTATAGTAGGATGTCTTGTCCTGAGTATTTGAAGTTGCAGGCATTACACTGATTGTAGCTTTACATAATCAAATAAACATATGTCATACAGCCATTCATTTTAATTCCAAATACCAAAACACCAGTACTAGGCTATTGGACAGTATTCATACTTAGTGACAGTAAATTGCTCAACTTGTAGCCTATTTGCCATATAAAAATTTTGTGACAAATAACCTGCCAGTTAGATAGCTAATTATAACTAGCTAGGTAGTCAAGCTTAAGCAGCCAGCGTCTTATCTAGAGGTAGACAGCAAACTAACTACTAATGTTACATAGATGTTATCATGCATTACAAGAAAATGAGTAAATTCCCAAGTTATAGCATTACTCATAAAACCTTGCTTAATATCAGTAACCAGGTTATATGTTGTTAAATTGTCAGTCATTGACTTTCTAAAGTTAAAATGAGGTACCATCTGAACCGATCTCACTATGTGTATGTTAATGCTAACTAAGCTAACTCACCAACTTATTTGTCCATAACATATATGTAGCCTTTCCCTTTAAAAAGATCCCCCAAAGTTGTTGTTTTTCTCTGTACTATTGATCTTATTTGCGTTAAATTGTTTTAACATTTTAAGGCTGTAAAAGGTATTTTGCCAAAATGTGGAAAATATTGTTAAACACTCAATCCAACAAAACAAGAATATATTCCCATAAAGCAAGAAACTCCAGACTGTGTAGGACCAGTGGGTATCAGTGAGATGCAGCAAGGAGAGGGTCTACAGCAGTGGGTACAATTTGGTAAACCTAAAAAAAAATGTGACAAATTTGCAGCAACTAACAATACTGCACTGACATGAGACCTTTCATTAATTTAAAGGGAACTGCAAAGCAGGAAACCAATTTGTCCAGAACAGAAAGGCAGATCCATTGCCAGGTCTTGCACTATTCAATTCAAATTTATTTGATTTGTGTGGATTTAACAATAGGAATTATCAGAAAGGAGCTTTCCAGAATAGAATTAGATCCCTAATGAGCAAACCAGAGGTGAAATTGGCAAGGAAAAACTCCTGGAGACGACATGATGAAGAAACATTGAAAGGAACCAGGCCCAAAAGGGAACCCATCCTCTTCTGGGTGACACTGGAATGCAAGATGATATATGTTTACAGCATTAAGGTGAGAACATCCAATGATTGAACTGTAAGATCAAACAGTTTTTGGAAATGTAAGTTGTTGTAGTATACATGTGTGATTATCCACAGCTACAGGGGGTAAGTCAAAAAAGCAGAAAGCTCCAGATGAAGAAACAGGAGGTGTAGAGCAGGAGGAGATAATCAGAGATAATGGTTAGCCTTGAGCTGCTGATGCTGACAGTCCTGTTGCAGTGCCATATGTTCTTCCCTAAGCTTGAACAAATGTCCGTGCTGATGGAACATCCTCTTTTTCTTTCTGGTGCTGAAACAGTGGAGGCTGAGGGCAAACAATATTGAAAGAAAACATTCTTGTATATATAAGCCCGCAAGAGTTACACTGCAGAATAACTTGATTCTAAATTCAGTTCAGTACAATTGCATTTGTATAGCACTTTTAACAAAAGGCATTACAAAATAGACAGCTTCACAGAAATCTCAAAATGTAGCTTTAGATGCCTAATGAGCAAGTCAGAGAATATGGTGGTGAGGGAGAAACTATGAGAGAGCCCAGACAAAAAATCATAGAGGATAACTGATTCCTCGATGACTAGAATACCAGGACTGGAATGTGAATTGGACATCTATTTGAGCTTAATATACCTGATGAGATACCTGTGAACGGCCAAAGGCATGATCCTCTCCTTTACCCAAGAAATAAAATATTCACAAAAGTCTTGACTAAATAAATATGTTTTCAGCCTAGACTTAAACACTGTGACTGTGTCTGAGCCCTGAACACTAATTGGAAGGCATTTCTATAACTGTGGGGCTTTGTAAGAGAAAGCGAGG